TGCTAGCGAGAAACACTTGGATTTGTGAATTATATCTGTCTCCTCGTTATTCTGAAAACGGAGTTTGCATGGACTTTTCCATTCACCTTATTGCTTTCATCGATACTCAGTAATAGACGAGATAAACTGTTACTTCCCATTGCCTTGTTCGTTTCAGAAGTACCAGGTAGAATTTTACCAACAAGGCTTCATACATATTCCCAGTAATTGTTGAGTGATTTAATTGTATATTGTCTTGCTATTACTTTGATCATATATCACATTATTTCTCATTTTTGAATACCTGGACTTATATAAATTTTATGTAATTCATGTTTATATTTATCCAAGTTCTCAGAAACTATAACTGCTGAAATTGATCATAACTCTCCTAATACAGGTGTAATTAAAGTGAGAGATGCTTTTTGGCTCATGAAAAAAAAAGGCTGTAGATCAAGTCTCAGTAACTTCTAGTTAACCCTATAGAAAGTTAGCCAAAATAATGTATAGCTTCTTTAAATTCTTCTAAGGAAAAAACTCCATTTTGTTTCTTGAAATGAGGTATTGCTTTGTCACCCAGACTGGAATACAGTGACACTTTCACAGCTCACTGTGACCTTAAACTCCTGGGCTCAAGGGATCCTCTCACTTCAGCCTCCCGAGTGGCTGGGACTACAGGCGCAAACCACTGTGCCTGGCTTCATGAGAAAAAAATTAAATATATAATGGTACTAGGTAAAATAATACTAAATAAGAAATCATTTGAATGCATACTATATTAACTCTGGAATAACAATACTTAAATAAAAGAAAAGTGCTTGTTATAGCAAAGGGAAGCTTGTAGTTCAGAGGACAGCTAAATTAAATTTGTTGCAGGCTGTGAGAAACATAACAATTAAACATAAATACATGAAATATGTAGATTTTTATATTTTTATTGAAAATTGCATAGAAATATTTGGTTTGTCTAGTTGGAACGTGTGAGTGATTATTATGCATATAAATAAATATTCAGTTATTGCTGATAAATTCATTGGTGGTAAAATAAAACATTTGTATAGGGTTTTGGAAGTCAAATCTTTAAAATCACTTCTCTGAATTCCCATTAGATGATTATTGCTACCAACAAAATTCTAGTAGGTAAACACAACCACCTTCTAAGAACTTAGAACTCTCAGGCTGGGCACGATGGCTCATGTCTGTAATCCTAGGACTTTGGGAGGCCGAGGCAGGCAGATCACCTGAGGTTGGGAGTTCAAAACCAGCCTAAGCAACATGGAGAAACCCTGTCTCAACTAAAAATACAAAATTAGCAGGGTGTGGTGGGACATGCCTGTAATCCCAGCTACTCGGAAGGCTGAGACAGGAGAATTGCTTGAACCTGAGATCGTGCCATTGCACTCCAGCCTAGCAACAAGAGAAAAACTCCGTCCAAAAAAAAAAAAAAGAACTTAGAACTCTCCAATATTAAATGGCCAGTTGCCTCAGAATAAAAACAAACCAAACTATTTCAACCAAGGTGAACTCTGAATAATTAATTCAATTGTTTCAATTTCTTCTTAAAGAAGTTGTGAAGAACTTTAAAATGACATGACTGTAGAACAATAGTGAGATGCAAAGAACAAAAACCACCACATAAGAAATTGTGAATTTCATTGAGCAGCTTTACTGTTCGTCTTAATATGGTGCTAATTGGAGTTGGTTTTGCATTGCTCAGTAGCAGAGATAGAATTATGGTTTGTTATATGTGGTGATATAATATACAAATATACCCTCTCTAGCTTTGTCTACTGATATAATTAGGTGCATTGTGACTCCAGCAGCAACTGCCTGATGTATCTGCCTAGAATTCATGTTTTGATCTGTAAATCTCTAATAGTAATTGTGAAGAGCTCAACTCAGTATGGAAACTGATCCGGTCACATATTTTTCTTCAGCCTCTTAAATAAACTGCAAAGAGTCTGAGGTCACACTATGCTGGACACACTGTAATTGCACAAACAAAATTGTAGGGCTTTGTTCCAAGATGGTATTAAGACTTGATCTATGGATAAGATCAACTTGTGGGTGATTCAAAGGTGCCCCCACTAGTTTCCTGCAACCAGAAATTGTAAACCTACTTGTGTGTTTAAAGATGCTTGAAACAATATTGCAGAGAGAGGATGGTGAGACAGTGGAGTGCTGTATGATCCTGAGTGTTAAACACAATTTGATTTATTAAAATTAAGTTGCATTCCTAGGATACAAATAGTTTGTTTTAAAAAGTAGGCATAGTATTACCCTATTTTTTTTGTTTGTTTGTTTGTTTTGTTTTGAAGACAGAGTCTCTCTCTGTCGCCCAGGCTGGAGTGCAGAGGCACGATCTCAGCTCACTGCAACCTCTGCCTCCTGGGTTCAAGCAATTCTCCTAGCTCCGCCTCCGGAGTAGCTGGGATTACAGGCGTGTGCCACCACGCCCAGCTAATTTTTGTATTTTTAGTAGAGATGGGTTTCGCCATGCTGACCAGGCAAGTCTGGAACTCCTGGGCTCAGGTAATTCACCTGCCTCAGCCTCCCAACGTCCTGGGATTACAGGCGTGAGCCGCCGCGCCCAGACACCCTATTTTAATATATTTAATAAAACCAAATAGTCAAAAAGTTAAGATGGATTATTTGTGGGCGTTTGGATTTTGAGTGATTTGTAATTCACTAATTTTCTTTTCTGTTATCCAAAGTGTCTACAATGCTATTAATAATATGTATTATTACTACTATATAAAAATCTTCAAAAATTACAATAAGATATCACTTTACATGTACTAGAATGGCCATTTTTAAAAGGCCTATAATAACAATTATAGATGAGGATATGGAGAAGCTGGCACCCTCCTACACTGCTGGTGGGAATGGAAATTGGTGCTTTGGAAAACAGTCTGGCAGTTCCTTGAAGGTTAAACGCAGAGTTACCATATGACCCAGCAACTCCACTCCTAAGTATGCACCCAAGAGAATGAAATAATCTGTCCACACGGAAATTTGTACCTGAATATTCACAGCAGCATTTTTCATAACAGCCCCAAAGTGGGACTCACCCAAATGTCTATCGTCTGCTGAATGGATAGAGAATATGTGGTGTCTCCATACAGTGGAATATTATTCAGCCATGAAAACAAAGGAGGTTCTGTTATGTGGTATAACACGGATGGACTTTGAAAACATTATGCAAAGTGAAAGGATCCATCACAAAGGACAATATATTGTTTGATGCCTGTCTTAGTCACTTTGGGCTTCTTTAACGAAAGGATCATAGACTATGTGACTTAAACAACAGGATTTATTTCTCACAGTTCTGGAGGCTGGGAAGCCCAAGATCAAGGCACTGGTACATTCAGTGACTGGAGAGAACCTGCTTCCTCGTTCATAGATGGCTGACTTCTTTTTTTTTTTTTTTTTTTTAGACGGAGTCTCGCTCTGCCACCCAGGCTGGAGTGCAGTGGCCGGATCTCAGCTCACTGCAAGCTCCGCCTCCCGGGTTCACGCCATTCTCCTGCCTCAGCCTCCCAAGTAGCTAGGACTACAGGCACCCGCCACCTCGCCCGGCTAGTTTTTTTTTGTATTTTTTAGTAGAGACGGGGTTTCACCGTGTAAGCCAGGATGGTCTCGATCTCCTGACCTCGTGATCCGCCCGTCTCGGCCTCCCAAAGTGCTGGGATTACAGGCTTGAGCCACCGCGCCCGGCCGATGGCTGACTTCTTTTTTTTCTTTTTTTTTTTTTTTGAGATGGAGTCTCATTCTGTCACCCAGGCTGGAGTGCAGTGGCGTGATCTTGGTTCACTGCAAGCTCCGCCTACTGGGTTCACGCCATTCTCCTGCCTCAGCCTCCAGAGTAGCAGGGACTACAGGTGCCCGCCACCACTCCCGGCTAATTTTTTGTATTTTTAGTAGAGACGGGGTTTCACCCTGTTAGTCAGGATGGTCTCGATCTCCTGACCTTGTGTTCTGCCCGCCTCGGCCTCCCAAAGTGCTGGGATTACATGCATGAGCCACCGTGCCCGGCCAGACAGCTGACTTCTTGCTCTGCTCTCCCATGGTAGAAAGAGGGAGGGAGGTCTCTGGGGTCTCTTTTCTAAGGGCATTGAGACCATTCATGAGGATTCCACCCTCATGACCTCATCACCTCCCGAAGGCCCCATCTCCTTGTATCCTCACATTTGGAGTTAGGATTTCAACACAGGAACTTGAGGGTGGACACATACATTCAGTCCATAACAACTCCTATTAAATCAAATGTCCAGAATGAGTAAACCTGTGGAGACAGAAGGTGGATTCGTGGGTGCCTGTGGCTGGGTGTGCGTGCATGTGGGGAATGGGGAGTGCTGCTTAGTGAGTTTCTTTTTGAGGTGATGACGCTGTCCTAAAACTGATTGTGGTGGTTTTAGTTACATAGTTACAACTTTGTAACTATGCTATATACGACACTGAATTGTATAGTTTATTGTGTGGTTTGTGAATTGTGTGGTTGGTGAACTATATATCCATAAATCCATTATTTTAAAAATCTAATCTTTAAAAAATGTCATAGCAGAACTGGTGAAGGTAATGGGTCAGACAACGGTTCCTAAACCCAAGTATTTTAAAGAAATCTAGGTGACGATTTAGGCAAGAGAAACCATTAGAGTTGTACGAGAGAGAATGGAAGGCAAGGAAAATAATCACACTTTTGCCTCTGTCAGGTTGGAATCTCTAGAAGTTACTATTCTACATGGCTTAACTTGCAGATGCAGGGCTACATCAAAAATAAAAGAATTTGAAAAATCCATACTCCCATTTCATTACGCAAAAAAAAAAGAAGTTTCTATTTTATAGCTCTCCTGTTTCGGCCTCTGTTCTAAGCACCTACCGCTGCTAGGAGCAATTCCACTGATGCATCTCTTTTGAATGAGCAATAAGTGCTTTTGTCAACCTTTTAGAGACACGGAAGCTAAGATTTATCTGACGGTTCTTCCCATGTACCTAAATACAACCTCTTTTAATTTTTTCAGGGTGAAAAAGATACAGTAAAGAGATAAATACAACATTTGACAGATGGACAAAAAGGAGTGTCATGAAGAGAGTAGCAGCAGTGATGAAGAGCTGTGGAGACGGTGAGTGACTTTGCGCTCTGTGCGGGTTCCTGATGGCTGATTCTTCTGCATCTCGTTATAGTTCATGAGATACAGAGCACCATGGATGTTTTCTGGAAGAAAGGTTCTGCTCACATTTTATTCACTCATTCATCTCTGTATGAATGAAGGGGAAAACCCCAGGGGCAACCAGGTGTACTTTTTTTGTTTTGTTTTTTGAAACGGAGTCTCCCTCTGTCACCCTGGAGTGCAGTGGCACAGTCTCAACTCATGGCAACCTCCGCATCTCCAGTTCAAGCGATTCCCCTGCTTCATCCTCCCCAGTAGCTGGGACTACGGGCATGCACCACCACGCCCATCTAATTTTTGTATTTTTAGTAGAGACAGGGTTTTACCATGTTGGCCAGGATGATCTTGATCTCTTGACCTCTTGATCTGCCCACCTCGGCCTCCCAAAGTGCTGGGATTACAGGTGTGAGCCACCACACCCGGCCCAGGTGTACTTTTTAGACCTCTCTCCTTCCCTGATTTTCACCATGGCTACTTCATACCTGAGCAAAAGCGAGTCTAGGGCTGTTCTTCCAGCTCTTTCCTTGATGCATGGGCCTATGGCCTTGACCATGCTCTTGACAATGCCACAGCATGGCACCCAGATCAGAGCAGAACCATGCAGCCTGACTTACTAAGCCCTCCCGCTGTGCGTTTCAGTGGCTCCTCATCAGCCCGCGGCTTATCTCTCATTTGTAGAAAACGAATGCACTGTTTTACATGGTCTTGGAACTCAAAACAAATTAATCTGACCAAATATTTCCATGTATGCAATTCAGATACTGCTGTAGAATGAATGTTTGTGTTCCTCCAATATTCATATGTTGAAATCCTAACTTCCAATATGATGTTATTAGGAGATGGGGCCTTTGAGAGGTGTCAGGTGATAAAGGAGAGCCCTCATGAATGGAATTAGTTCCCTCATGAAGGAGACCCTGGAGAGCTCCTTTCTCTTTCCCCATGCTTGGACAGAACAAGAAGTCTGCCCTCTATGAATCAGGAGCAGACACCGAGTCTACCAGCACTTTGATCCTGGACGTTCCAGCATCCAGAGCTGTGACAAATGCATTTACATTGTTTACAACCTTCTCAGTCCATGCTTTTTAAAAAGAGCAGCCTTGGCCGGGCATGGTGGCTCTCGCCTGTAATCCCAGCACTTTGGGAGGTGGAGGCGGGCAGATCTCCTGAGGTCAGGAGTTCGAGACCAGCCTGGCCAACATGGTGAAACCCCATCTCTACTAAAAATGCACAAAGTAGCCGGGCATGGTGGCAGGCACTTGTAATCCCAGCTACTCGGGAGGCTGAGGCAGGAGAATCGCTTGAACCTGGGAGGTGGAAGTTGCAGTGAGCCAAGATCACGCCATCACACTCCAGCCTGGGCGACAACAGTGAAACTCAAAAAGAAAAAAGAAAAAAAAAGTCTGAAATGAGTGAGACATGCTCTGGCATGCATAAAAGACCACGGACTAGGATGAATTGTTTGCTTTGGGAACCCAGTGTTTCCTAGGTCTTGTGCTAAGTAATTTTAGCCTTCTATGATTAATCACCACAAGGATTTGTGATGAGAGTACTGTATCCTTATTTTACAAGTTAGAAAGCTGATACTCGGAGAGGTTAAGCAACAATTTTGACAGGTCTGTCACTGCTGAGTGATGTCTGTGAAAGGCACTGAATGCAGATTTCTCTGGTGTCCATCATCCTTGACACGCTCGCCCTAAATAAAGAGATCCTACCTTCAAATAAGCTCAGTCCATCCAGGGTTGTGCAAACAACTTCATCAGGTTAACATTCCCTCCTGTTTAGGACCAACGAAGGATAGAAGAGTAGGGCCCTTCTTATGCTCCATAGTTTACAAAAACACGGTATCCTTTTAGAAGCCAGTAGTGGCCGGGCGCGGTGGCTCAAGCCTGTAATCCCAGCACTTTGGGAGGCCGAGACGGGTGGATCACGAGGTCAGGAGTTCGAGACCATCCTGGCGAACATGGTGAAACCCCGTCTCTACTAAAAATACAAAAAACTAGCCGGGCGAGGTGGCGGGTGCTTGTAGTCCCAGCTACTCGGGAGGCTGAGGCAGGAGAATGGCATAAAAACCCGGGAGGCAGAGCTTGCAGTGAGCTGAGATCCGGCCACTGCACTCCAGCCTGGGCGACACAGCGAGACTCCGTCTCAAAAAAAAAAAAAAAAAAAAGAAAAAAAAGAAAAAAAAAAAATAGAAGCCAGTAGTGAGCATCACCAAGTGTGACAGACTGTGATGAACATCAGGGATTGAGAATCAAAGGAGGCATGCCTCCTGAGATAAGATCATTGTCTACTGTGTGGAAACAGAGTAGATGCAGTTAATTCAGTAAAAATGTGGAGGAATGGCATTTTATTATAGGATGGGCATCAAAGAAGGTATCTCTAAGAATAGGCATCTCTAAGGCTTCTCTAAGGATGGCATCTCTAAGAATAGTATCTCTAAGGATGGCATCTCTATGGATGTGCATGTCTAAGGGTGGACATCTCTAAGGATTGGACTACTTTTGCTACATCACAGTGAGAAGATTGTCCCACCATTGAGCTCCTCTGACATGCTCACATTCCAACTCCATTTGTGTTTTCCCAGGGACAATGGATCCAGTAGGAGTGTAGATGCATCAGAACTCGTAAGACAGCAGACAGTACTGGTTGACAATAGCATACAGAAACTGCGAGACACGAGAACTGGAATTTTTTCTCAGGCTGAAGCCTGTGTGACAGATGATATGTAAGGGACATCTGTTGGTTGGGGAAAAATGAAAGATTTGGAATTTTGCTGCACTGCTTCATGTACATTCATAAGAAGCAAAGACGTGTAGGTTATTTGCATAAAAATTAGTATATATGTTACTTTTCTTCTTTGTTATCATAAGTTTTTATTTCAAAAGAGTTTCTATCTCATAAGATGTAAGAAAAAGAGGTCGGGGCCAGGCGCGGTGGCTCACGCCTGTAATCCCTGCACTTTGGGAGGCCGAGACGGGCGGATCACGAGGTCAGGAGATCGAGACCATCCTGGCTAACACGGTGAAACCCCGTCTCTACTAAAATACAAAAAATTAGCCGGGCGTGGTGGCGGGCGCCTGTAGTCCCAGCTACTCCGGAGGCTGAGGCAGGAGAATGGCGCGAACCCGGGAGGCGGAGCTTGCAGTGAGCCGAGATGGTGCCACTGCACTCCAGCCTGGGCGACAGAGTGAAGACTCCGCCTCAAAAAAAAAAAAAAAAAAGAAAAAGAGGTCGGGGCCCAGTGACTCACACCTATAATCCCAGCGCACTGAGAGGTGAGGGCAGGTGGATCACCTGAGGTCAAAAGTCAAACTGGGAATCTCGTACTTTCCCTAAAATTCTTAGCAAGGTTATATAGGTCAACAAGTATATTATGAAACCAAAGTTTGTGGCAAATGCTAGATGTTGAGAATTGATTGACGTCTGCTTCCTAGGATGGAAAAAGCAGCATATAGTGGGAAATAGGCATCCAGTTAAATTTTACTTGATGAGAGGTGAGATGGAGTCGTGCAGGCCTGAGGAAAGACTTCCCTAAGATAAAATATGGGGTCTATGGCTATTAACATAAAATCTTCCTGCACAGCCCATGCTATCATCAGGCACCTACCTTATATTCATAGACAAATTCTGTTCTTGTTTTCCAGGGTATACAGGGAGTTACCCCCTGTTTCTCAGATGTGTGGTAGCATCTTACATTTTTTCGACGAAGATGACGAGACAGAGGCTGAGGCATTATGGTTCACTGCTTTTCCTAAGTATCAACCATCTGGGGAGGACATTCCCAGGTAAGAAAAGCTATTCTGGGCCGGGCATGGTGGCTCACGCCTGTAATCCCAGCACTTTGGGAGGCCGAGGCGGGCGGATCACAAGGTCAAGAGACCGAGACCATCCTGGCTAACACGGTGAAACCTCGTCTCTATTAAAAATACAAAAAATTAGCCGGGCGTGGTGGCGGGCACCTGTAGTCCCAGCGACTCAGGAGGCTGAGGCAGGAGAATGGCGTGAACCCAGGAGGCAGAGCTTGCAGTGAGCCAAGATCGCGCCACTGCACTCCAGCCTGGGCGACAGAGCGAGACTCTGTCTCAAAAAAAAAAAAAAAAAAAAAAAGAAAAGCTATTCCGTTGGAAAACTATTGGACGCTGTGTCCCAGTATCACAGAGGAATATGAGAATGAGAAGAATTTGGGTGTTTTTCATCAAACTCAGGGGAGAATGAATGAGCTTATGCAATACTAGCAATGAATCCAGAAATTTTTGAGGCAAACCTTGGGCAAGGACATTTTCTTCCATGGAGGTGTCTAGAGAACCTATACACAAAAAGGCAATGAGCAATGCAATCAAAGGCCAGTGGGTTATTGGTTGAACTGTTACCCAATGCCTAAAACCAACCTAATTCTCTAGGAAACTGGCTGATGATGAGGCTGAAGACCGCAGTGGAGTCCTGAGATTTAACACCAGGGAGGGGAGAATGGATCTATTTGTAGGGTATGCCAGTTTCCAAGGGTTGAATATCCCATCGTGGCAGGTTTCAAACTACCAACGTGAAGCCCCTGATGAGGGAGTTGGGAGGACATGTGCAGAAGTCGCTCATCCTACTTTCACCACACAGATACAATAGACATAAATAACCTCAAGGGCATAGACTGCTGGACAGTGTAGAAAAATGACTGGAAATTGGTATGTTTTCATATGTATTACTTTTGTTTTTAATATGATTGATTTAAATGCTAGCTTGTATCGTTTAATTTAGACTAATGGTTGTGTGGAACAACTTGGTTGCAAAGTCCCTGAAAATGGAACCGTCGGCTCTCATGATCTGGGATGCGCTGTCTGCATTTCTGCGCTGGCTTCCTCCCACCTTCTAAACCCCTCCTCAGCAGGCAGTCTCCAGCATGCACATGCGCCAGGAGAGAGAGTATAAAATGGCATGTTTACTCTTGCTGCTTTGCCTGTAGCTACCCGAATCCACAGCAAAATGTGTAGCCGCAAACAGCAACCAGTCTTAGGATGTCAGGCCAAGGGTCTCTCCATGCTTGACTTGCCTACACAACCCTTCTGAGAAAAGCGCTGTAAAGCCTTTCTCTTCATCCCGCTTCTCCAGGTACCTTCTCTTTTTAAACCTAATCCACGTGTCAATTTTTCTGGTGGTCTCTTTCACGTTGAAATAAACAGACGCCTCGAGGAATAGATCAAAGGCAGAGAATTTGATGGAGTTGGTTGCCTTCCTCCAGAAGGGATCGCCTGTGTTAGGGCAGATTTCTCTACAGGGGCCTGACGCACCACTGGCTCACGCTGTAGATCATGGAGCCCATGTTGGCTAATATTGGAATCACCTGTGAGTCTTTGAAAGCCCCGATGCTTTGGTGCCACCTCCAGACTTCTGATTCAATTGGTGTGGGCTGTGACCTGGGTATTGGGTGGTTTTTAAAGCTTCCCAGGTGTGGTCAAGTTTGGAATTAACTTGGAATATAAATGCATGCATTTTGTGCATTGGTGAATTACTGCTTCAGTCTTTGATTCCAACATCATATGATACCAATTGGAGCAATCAATTTAAGCCAGAGAAGCTAGCTGTGTCCACGTTGAACATGAGCACAGGACAAAGAGAAGAGGGAGAGATGCCAAGATATATTTGGCTCTAGGGAGCAGCTTAGCTCCATTATTTATAAATCTGGATAAAGATATCTTCATTCAAAATATCTTCTATTTTTTGATAGTCTAGATCCGTCCTAAGAGAACTTTCTGTGATGACAGGAGTGTTCCATTCTCTGCTACACAGTGTTGTCGCCGTGAGTGACATGTAGGTGTTCGAGAAGTTGAAATGTGGATGGTGCCACTGAGAAACCAAAGTTTACCTAAGTTTAATTCATACAAACTTAAAACCATACATCTGGGTAGCAGCTACTCTACTGGATGGTGCAGCTCTAGTTTTTAATAACATCGTCTTCATCTTCATCAACTAATTCTTGATATTTTTCATCTTTTTGTGACATGGGGATCCCAACCTCCAGTGTATCAGAACAGCAGGAATCTTCAGAGGGACAAGAATCAGGTAATGGACTAATAGGGAGAAGATTGAAGGGCATATGGATTGATGGAAATGTTCTGTTATTTTATGTGGAGAAGACAATTTAGAGTCTTTTGTGCAGTGAAGATCAGGAGTGATTTTCCTTACCTCGGCCACAGTGCACTGTGCAGTTTAAATGGGGACATGTAAGCCTCTCACCGCTGGGGCACGGAAATGCTCAGGGGAACCAGGGGATGGTCCTGGTGGCTGGGGACAGCAGCAGGGACTAGGAAGGATGCACGCTGTTTCACCTTGCAGAAAAGCTCGATCCTTTTCTGACCTGGACTTGCCTCACCAGCAGAAGCTGTCATCTGTTCTTTGGGGCCAGCAGAAACGTAGGTGCATTGATTCCAGTCCTCAGCAAACGGTGCCTCCCACCAAAGCTGTCCAGCCTGGCTTCCCAGAGAGCCCTGTGGAATTTGGGGTATACTTTTAGTCACGACAGAGAATATTCTTGTGCCTTTCCTTGTCTGGATTCAAAGAAGCAGAACCGCATATTCCGGTCACTCTCTGTTCTTATTTGATATCTGTATCCCAACAGCATCTGTGTAATTCAGCCTCCAGGAGTCCTTCGGGCCATGCCTCTTCCAACTCTTTACCTCTTACATGTCTAGTATTTTCTTTTCAGGAGATATTTGCTCAGAAGAGAATCAAATAGTTTCCTCTTATGCTGCTAAACTCGGTTCTGAGGTTGAACAAGATTACACAAATCATCAGTTTCTGGGGCCTGAAGGAAATGTGGATGTTGAGTTGATTGATAAGAGCACAAACACATACAGGTAAGAATGGAAGATGCTGATGATTTGAAAACCGCTTTGATATAAAGGAAGTGTGTAGGCCGGGTGTGATGACTCAGCACTTTGGGAGGCCGAGGAGGGCGGATCACGAGCTCAGGAGTTCAATACCAGCATGGCCAACATGATGAAACGCTGTCTCTACTAAAAATACAAAAATAGCCAGGCGTGGTGGCACCCGCCTATAGTCCCAGCTAATTAGGAGGGTGAGAAAGGAAAATCGCTTGAACCCAGGAGTCAGAGGTTGCAGTGAGATGAGACCTCACCACTGCACTGCAGCCTAGGTGACAGAGCGAGAATTCATCTCAAAAATAATTAAATAAATATAAAAATAAAAATGGAAGTGTATCGGCTCCATCCCTTATGATAGCTAAAATTTCATCAATAATATGTTTATTCCATGTGCTGCGAAATTGATATTTTAATGTCAACATATACAGAATGCAGAAAATTGGGGCCCAGAGAGGTTAATGAACTCCCCAGCGTTTTCTAATGTAGTGAAAGTCGCAGATGGGTCCTGAACTTGCCTCACTGCAAATCCCACCTCCCTCTGCACATCGCTGCTTAAATCCAGTTCCTGGGGTTCTCCCGTCATGACATCACTCTGGCTCCTTTCAGCCTTCGGTTCCCCACTGCTGGCTGGTATCTGTGGTCGGCCACCGGCCTCGGCTTCGTGGTAAGGGATGCGGTCACGGTGACGATTGCGTTTGGTTCCTGGAGTCAGCACCTGGCCCTGGACCTGCAGCACCATGAACAGTGGCTGGCGGCCGGCCCCTTGTTTGCCGTCACTGCAGAGCCAGAGGAGGCTGTGGCCGAAATCCACCTCCCCCACTTCATCTCCCTCCAAGGTAATGCGGGGTGAGCAGAGGCTGTGGGGGCTGCCGGGGCGCGTGCTGTCTCACTGCTGTTGCGGTTCTCCTGCGGCAGGTGAGGTGGACGTCTCCTGGTTCCTCGTGGCCCATTTTAAGGATGAAGGGATGGTCCTGGAGCAGCCAAGCCGGGTGGAGCCTTTCTATGCTGTCCTGGACAACCCCAGCTTCTCCCTGATGGGCATCCTGCTGCGGATCGCCAGGGGGACGCGCCTCTCCATCCCCATCACCTCCAACACGTTGCTCTATTTTCACCCCCATCCCGAAGACATTAAGTTCCACTTGTACCTTGTCCCCAGCGACGCCTTGCTGACGAAGGTAAGCTGAGCGATTTAGGAGACCAGAGAAGATGACAATGATATTTCCAGGTTATCCCCTCGGCCCCTCCAGTGGAACAGAAAGGGCAAGGCACAGTTTTCATGGAGAGAACATGGATCACTCTCCCCGAGGGTCACCTATAGGTGCTGAATATTGAGCCACATGCAACAATCCCCATAGAAATTCAGGTCTACTGAGAAGGGACCTTCCTCTTCTGGCTCTCAAGGAGGAGATGGTTAGAAGAAGTAATAGCAGAGATTCTCTCACCAAATTTTATTTTATTTTATTTTGTTTCTGAGACAGGGTCTTGCTCTGTCACCCAAGCTGGAATGCAGTGGCACAATCTCAGCTCACTACAACCTCCGCCTCCTGGGTTCAAGCAGTTCTCCTGTCTCAACCTCCCGAGTAGCTAGAATTACAGGCAGGCGCCACGACGCCCAGCTAATTTTTTGTATTTTTAGTCGGGACAGGTTTCACTATATGGGCCAGACTGGTCTTGAACTCCTGCGACCTTAAGTGATCCTCCTGCCTCAGCCTCCCAAAATGCTGAGATTACAGTCACAAGCCACCGTGCCCGGCCTCTCACCAAATTTTAGACGGATAATATCTGAATGACAGTCTCACACTTGCTCACATCTCTAGGGTAACTCCTTCCTTTCGGTGGCATCTCCCTCTAGCGCATTTACAAAAGGCTGATGGTCCCACACCCTCTCTTAGGTTAGGGATGGACCGGATGTGCTGCTTTCTGCAGCTCCATAGCTGCTGTGTTTCCGAATAAAATGCTACTTCTGCGCCTCCAGCCTTGGTGCGAAGATTATGCCAGGAAGATTTCATTAAACTTTACTGTCCTGGCGCCTACCATCTTTGCATCCCAAGCACAAGAGGCGAGAGCATGCCTGGCTGTATTTAAGGTGGTAATTCTGGGTAATTTAAATACAAGAGAAAATTGGCTGTGCGCGACGGCTCTCGCCTGTAATCCCAGCACTTTGGGAGGCCCAGGTGGGAGGATCACCTGAGGTCAGGAGTTTGAGACCAGCCTGGCCAACATGGCGAAACCCCACCTCTACTAAAAATACAAAAATTAGTTGGGCGTGGTGGCGTCTGTGGTTGGCAGGGTTTTTTTAAGCAGTTTGAAAATATGACTCCATTCTCTTCTGGTTTGTAAGGTTCCTGCTGAGATGTCTACCGTTAATTGAACGGAGTTTCCTTTCTAGGTGACTAGATGCTTTTCTGTTTCTGATTTTCGGATATTTCCCTTCACTTGGTGTTAGACAGTCTGATGGCTCCATATCGTGGTGAAGTTCATGTTGCAGGGTATTTTACTGGTGATGATTTGGGCCTCCTGTATTCAGACCTTTCAATATCTTGCTAGGCTAGGAAAATGTTTGCCAATTATTTTCTTAGATTCTAAATTTTTCCCTTTTTCTTCTCCCTTGGAAATACTGATGATTCATAAGTTTCGTTGCTTTATGTAGCCCCATACTTCTTTTTTATTTATTATTTTATTTTAGTCTGACTGGGTTAATTAAAAAGACTTCGGGTTCTCTCCTCTGCTTGGTCTAGTCTATGATTAAAGCTTTCCACTGTATTTTGTAATTTTTTCAATGAATCTTTCATCTCTAGATGTTAATTTTTTTAAGATATCTGTCTCCTTGGTAAATCTCTAGTTCACATCCTGAATGAATTTTCAGATATGTTTGTATTGGCTTTCAGATTTATCTTGCATCTCTTCTTGAGCTTCTTTAAGTTCAATCTTTTGAATTATTTATCTGGCACTTTACAAATTTCATTTTGATTAGGATCCATTGGTAGAGAATTGCTGTGTTCCTCTGGGGGTGTCATAACACCTTGATCTTATTTTTTTTTTTTTTTGAGACGGAGCCTCGCTCTGTCGCCCAGGCTGGAGTGCAGTGGCCAGATTTCAGCTCACTGCAAGCTCCGCCTCCCGGGTTTACACCATTCTCCTGCCTCAGCCTCCCGTGTAGCTGGGACTACAGGCACCTGCCACCTCACCCGACTAGTTTTTTTGTATTTTTTTAGTAGAGACGGGGTTTCACTGTGTTAGCCAGAATGGTCTCAATCTCCTGACCTGGTGATCCACCCGTCTTGGCCTCCCAAAGTGCTGGGATTACAGGCTTGAGCCACCGCACCCAGCCCACCCTGATCTTTCATACATCCATTACTGTAATGCTGTGTCCCCACCCAAATCTCATTTTGAATTGTAGCTCCCATGATTCCCACGTGTTGTGGGAGGTGATTGAATAATGAGGGCAGGTTTTTCCTGTGCTGTTCTCGTGATAGCAAATAAGTCTCACGAGATCTGATGGTTTTATTTATTTATTTTATTTTCTTTTATTTTTTTTTTTTGAGACAGAGTCTTGCTCTGTCACCCAGCCTGGAGTGCAGTGGCCGGATCTCAGCTCACTGCAAGCTCCGCCTCCCGGGTTTACACCATTCTCTTGCCTCAGCCTCCTGTGTAGCTGGGACTACAGGCGCCCGCCACCTCGCCCAGCTAGTTTTTTTTGTATTTTTTTTTTTTTGAGACAGAGTCTTGCTCTGTCGCCCAGGCTGGGGTGCAGTGGCCGGATCTCAGCTCACTGCAAGCTCCGCCTCCCGGGTTTAGACCATTCTCCTGCCTCAGCCTCCCGAGTAGCTGGGACTACAGGTGCCCGCCACCTCGCCCGGCTAGTTTTTTGTATTTTTTAGTAGAGACGGGGTTTCACCGTGTTAGCCAGGATGGTCTCGATCTCCTGACCTCGTGATCCGCCCGTCTCGGCCTCCCAAAGTGCTGGGATTACAGGCTTGAGCCACCGCGCCCGGCCTTTTTTTGTATTTTTTTAGTAGAGACGGGGTTTCACCGTGTTAGCCAGGCTGGTCTTGATCTCCTGACCTTGTGATCCACCCGTCTCAGCCTCCCAAAGTGCTGGGATTACAGGCTTGAGCCACTGCGCCCGGCCGATCCGATGGTTTTATAAAGGGGAGTTTCCTGCAAAGGATCTCTCTTGCCTGCTGCCATGTAAGATGTGACTTTGCTCCTCCTTTGCCTTCCACCATGATTGTGAGACCTCCCCAGCCACGTGGAACTGTGAGTCAATTCAATTTCTTTCATTTGTGAATTACCCAGTCTTGGGCAGTCCTTTATAGCAGCGTGAGAACGGACTAATACATGTATTCAACAAATATTTATTGTGTACTTTATATATTCCAGGTGCTATTTTAGGGGATGGGGATGCATCAGTGAAGAAATAGTGAAAAACATGACAACCTAAGATGTTACATGGAATGTTCATGCTATGGGAAAAATATATGTGTGTATAGTAAAACTCTAAAAAATAAAGAATGCTGTTCTATTCTTTGAAAATAAGTACAGCAGTATGTCTCTCAACGTCTGCAGAAATCGGTCCATAAAGATAACCTTGCCAATATTATAGTGAAATCTTTGGTTCTTATACTTCCAATCTGTTGTTGTTATAATTTACATTGAATATATCGGTTCATTTAAAATAATCATTTATCAGAGATGGCAGGATACATCATGTCTTTCCTCCGTCAGTTTCTTTTTATCCTTCTGGAGTTGGTTCTCTTTATAGGCATATGTGTGATGCCTCCTGGATAGGTCTCCACATCCCTTCTTTGCTTCATCCCCATCATGATTTCATCTCTTTGCTCAATACAACTTGAATTTTTTTCTTTTATTTAATCTTCCAGGCCCAGTTTAAGTTTCAGCTTTGCCCATCCTTTCTTCATCAATATCACTGATATTTTTAAATTAATGTAATATGCACATAATATATTGCTCCATAATTTTCAGAGTGGACACGCCCATGTATCCAGCACCAGAACAAGATACAGAACATCTCCAACTTCTCTGAGGCCCCCTTGAACCCTCTCCCAGTCATTACCCCAAGGGTGTCTAACACCTGGACTAGTAATGCCACCTACTGTCAATTGCTTTTAGTTTAAATTCTTGCTCGTTAATTCCATAAAGTCTCTATTGAGTTGCACCTGAGACTTCTGAAAGGTTTTCTTATTGTTTGAATTCCATTCTATGTCTTTGCTGGCAGCTCAGATAGTTCTGAGGTCTTACCTTCTGCTCCAGCTGCTGGGCCTCTCAGAGGGGACCTCACTCTTCTGTATCTGCTCCCCGGTGCTCAGGTGGCCGAGCATCTCACAGCAGCCGTGTGATGGAGAGAAGTGACATCTCTACCCTCACCCATCAGAGACGTGTTCACAGACACAGCCGAGCTACCAGTCCTCGGCTGAGGCACCAAAAGGAAGTCCCTTTGTCCCTGGGTTTTATAAGTCCCCTGGCCAAACTCTCCACAGTGTAAAAATAAAATCAAACTGTACAGGAGTTTATGATAAGTTTACCATTCACAAGAAACCCTTTGGCTCTGAGATGTCCATCAGCAAAATGTTAATAACATGTCTATTTTGCATAGAGGCATGTTTACATCTATCTAGTTTATCACTCTACCATCTATCTGTATATTTATCTCTGTGTGTGCTTCTGGGTGTTGGCTCCATGGATGTGTCCACTGTGAAAATTATGGAGCAATAAATTATTTGCCTATTTTATTAATTAAAAAAGTAATCTATCAATCATCTCTTTTTTTTTTTTGAGATGGAGTCTTACTCTGTCACCCAGGCTGGAGTGCAGTGGCGAGATCTCAGCTCACTGCAACCTCTGCCTCCTGGGTTGAAGCGATTCTCCTACCTCAGCCTCCCAAGTAGTTGGGATTACAGACGTGCGTCGCCATGCCCAGCTCATTTTTGTATTTTTAGAAGAGACAGAGTTTCACCATGTCGGCCAGGCTGATCTTGAACTCCTGACCTTAGGTGGCTCACCTGCCTCGGCCTCCCAAAGTGCCGGGATTACAGGTGTGAGCCACCATGCACAGCCCTATCCTCTCAATCTTTACATCAACTGAATCATATCCTACATGCTACTTAATACAATATATAGAAAACTTTTATGCCACTATTTGTGCTTATTTCTTTTTCTGTGTGCTTTCTAATGTTTCTCCCCCTTATTCCCCAGATGATAGATGATGAGGAAGAGCGCTTCTGTGGTGTGCGTCTACAGACTTCACCCCCAGTGGAACCCCTGACCTTTGGTGCCCATTATATTGTGTCTAATTCTGCTCATCTGGAAATAATACCCACGGTTGGTAGAATTCAAATCTAACACAGCAGATTTCAGAATGTTTTGTACTTTTGAAACAAATAGAAGAATTTTAGCAAAATGCAATTTTTTTCATTAATCATGAATGCAAAGTTTTTAAAAAATTGAAAATACAGGAAAACAGTCTTAATCAAATTAAATATTTCCAAAACCTTAACACAGGCAGAGGAAACATTTTAGCATTTGGGGTACTTCCATTGTGATTAAAAGTGTACACTTAGTTATCTGAATTGAAGTTTCCACTTCTCTGTTATGGTTCCCTGCAGGCCTGACATCTTGCCTAGCTAAGTCACTTAACAAATATTTGTTGAGATGTTTGAATGAAGAAATATAATATCTTGGCTGGGCTCAGTGGCTCATACCTGTAATCCAAGCACTTTGGGAGGCCGTGGCAGGCAGATCATGAGTCAAGAGTTCAAGACCAGCCTGACCAACATGGTGAAACCCCTTCTCTACTAAAATACACAAAAAATTAACCAGGTGTGGTGGTGCACACCTGTAATCCCAGCTACTCAGGAGGCTGAGGTAGGAGAATCACTTGAACCCAGGAGCTGGAGTTTGCAGTGAGCCGAGATAGTGCCACTGCACTCCAGCCTGGGCGAAAGAGTCGGACTCCATCTCAAAAACAAAAACATAAAATTAGAAAAGTAAAAGAAATATATTTTATATTATATGTTACATTTTTGTATTTGTTACTGGAGATTACTGTGTATTTCTGCACAATTGAAATTATTCCTACATATTATTTTAATAGGACATAATATGCCATGTAGCTAAAACCCTAGAGCTTTTAAAATCACTTCATTATTATTCAGCATAGTTGAGTTCCTTATAGTTTCTCATAACAAGTGCCCTGGCAATAAATATTTCAACATACAGTTTTGCATTTTTCATGTGCAGCTAGGGTGCCCGAAGAGAAATGACTGATTCAGAGAGAACTCACCAAGTTAAAGCCAGTGCATTTCCAAAGAGATTTTCAAAGATTTCTCACAATATAAGTTCTCAAGAATAAAGGACAAGATTATCCAACAAAATATCCATCTCTAGAATAAAGTATCAAAATTTAATTGTTTTCCAATTTGAATGGGAAAAAAATGCATCTCAGTCCATTTTATTTTTTGTTATTATTGTTTCTTTACTTTTTTGAGACAGAGTCTCACTCTGTCTCCCAGGCTGGGTGCTCACAGCAACCTCCTCCTCCCTGGTTCAAGGGATGCTTGTGCCTCAACCTCCCAAGTTGCTGAGATTACAGGGGTGTGCCACCATGCCCAACTAATTTTTTGTATTTTTAGTAGAGATGGGGTTTCACCATGTTGCCCATGGCTGGTCTCGAACTCCTGACCTCAGGTGGGGCCCACCTGCCTCTGTAGACTCCACCTCTTGGGGCAGGGCATAGCTGAACAAAAGGCAGCAGAAACTTCTGCAGACTTAAATGACCCTGTCTGACAACTCTGAAGAGAACAGTGGTTCTCCCAGTGAGATGTTTCAGCTCTGCCTACTCAAGTGGGTCTCTGACCCCCATGTAGCCCAACTTGGAGACACCTCCCAGTAGGGGTTGACTGACACCTCATACAGCCAGGTGCCCCTCTGAGATGAAGCTTCCAGAGAAAGGATCAGGCAGCAATATTTGCTGTTCTGCAGCCTCCGCTGGTGATACCCAGGTAAACAGGGTCTGGAGTGGACCTCCAGCAAACTCCAACAGACCTGCAGCTGAGGGACCTGATTATTAGAAGGAAAGCTAACAAACAGAAAGGAATAGCATCAACATCAACAAAAAGGACATCCACACCAAAACCTCATCTGTAGGTTACCATCATCAAAGACCAAAGGTAGATAAAACCACAAAGATGGGGAGAAACCAGAGCAGAAAAGCTGAAAATTCTAAAAACCAGAGCGCCCCTTCTCCTCCAAAGGATCGCAGCTCCTCGCCAGCAATGAACAAAGCAGGACAGAAAATGACTTTGATGAGTTGACAGAAGTAGACTTCAGAAAGTCGGTAATAACAAACTTCTCCAAGCTAAAGGAGCATGTTCTAACCCATCGCAAGGAAGCTAAAAACCTTGAAAAAAGATTAGATGACTGGCTAACTAGAATAAACAGTGTAGAGAAGACCTTAAATGACCCGATGGAGCAGAAAACTATGGCACGAGAACTATGTGACGCATGCACAAGCTTCAGAAGCCAATTCAATCAAGTGGAAGAAAGGGTACCAGTGATTGAAGATCAAATGAATGAAATGAAGCAAGAAGTTTAGAGTAAAAAGAGTAAAAAGAAAAGAACAAAGCCTCTAAGAAATATGGGACTATGTGAAAAGACCAAATCTATGTCTGATTGGTGTACCTGAAAGTGAGAGGGAGAATAGAACCAAGTTGGAAAACACTCTGCAGAATATTATCCAGGAGAACTTCCCCAACCTAGAAAGGCAGACCAACATTCAAATTCAGGAAATACAGAGAATGCCATAAAGATACTCTTCGAAAAGAGCAACCCCAAGACACTTAATTGTCAGATTCACCAACGTTGAAATGAAGGAAAAAATATTTAGGGCAGCCAGAGAGAAAGGTTGGGTTACCCACAAAGGGAAGCCTATCAGACTAACAGCAGGTCTCTCGGCAGAAACCCTACAAGCCAGAAGAGTGTGGGGGCCAATATTCAACATTCTTTTTTTTTTTTTTTTTTTTTTGAGACGGAGTCTCGCTCTGTCACCCAGGCTGGAGTGCAGTGGCCGGATCTCAGCTCACTGCAAGCTCCGCCTCCCGGGTTCATGCCATTCTCCTGCCTCAGCCTCCCGAGTAGCTGGGACTACAGGCGTCCGCCACCTCGCCCGGCTAGTTTTTTGTATTTTTTAGTAGAGACGGGATTTCACCGTGTTAACCAGGATGGTCTCGATCTCCTGACCTCATGATCTGCCTGTCTTGGCCTCCCAAAGTGCTGGGATTACAGGGTTGAGCCACCGCACCCGGCCTCAACATTCTTAAAGAAAAGAATTTTCAACCCAGAATTTCATATTCAACCAAACTAAGTTCATAAGTGAAGGAGAAATAAAATCCTTTACAGACATGCAAATGCTGAGAGATTTTATCACCACCAGGTCTGCATTACAAGAGCTCCTGAAAGAGGCACTAAACATGGAAAGGGACAACCAGTACGAGCCACTGCAAAAACATGCCAAATCGTAAAGACCATTGATGCGAGGAAAAAAGTGCATCAACTAACAGGCAAAATAACGAGCTAATATTATAATGACAGGATCAAATTCACACATAACAATATTAACTTTAAATGTAAATGGGCTAAATGCCCCAATTAAAAGACACAGACTGGCAAATTGGATAAAGAGTCAAGACTTATCATGTGCCGTATTCAGGAGACCCATCTCACATGCAGAGACACACATAGGCTCAAAATAAAGGGATTGAGGAAGATCTACCAAGCAAGTGGAAAGCAAAAAAAAAAAGCAGGGGTTGCAATCCTAGTCTCTGATAAAACAGACTTTAAACCAACAAAGATCAAAAGAGACAAAGAAGGCCATTACATAATGTTAAAGGGATCAATTCAACAAGAATAACTAACTATCCTAAATATATATGCACCCAATACAGGAGCACCCAGATTCATAAAGCAAGTCCTGAGAGACCTAAAAAGAGACTTAGACTCCCACACAATAATAATGGGAGACTTTAATACCCCACCGTCAATATTAGACAGATCAATTAGACAGAAGTTTAATAAGGATATCCAGGACTTGAACTCAGCTCTGCACCAAGCAGACCTAATAGACATCTACAGAACTTTCCACCCCAAATCAACAGAATATACATTCTTCTCAGCACCACGTTGCACTTATTCCAAAATTGACCACATAGTTGCAAGTAAAGCACTCCTCAGAAAATATAAAAGAACAGAAATACAACAAACTGTCTCTCAGACCACAATGCAATCAAATTAGAACTCAGGATTAAGAAACTCACTCAAAACTGCACAACTACGTGGAAACTGAACAACGTGCTCCCGAGTGACTACTAGGTAAATAACGAAATGAAGGCAGAAATAATGATGTTCTTTGAAACCAGTGAGAACAAAGACATAGAATCTCTGGGACACATTTAAAGCAGTGTGTAGAGGGACATTTATAGCACTAAACGCCCAGAAGAGAAAGCAGGAAATATCTGAAATCGACACCCTCACATCACAATTAAAAGAACTAGAGAAGCAAGAGCAAACACATTCAAAAGCTAGCAGAAGGCAAGAAATAACTAAGATCAGAGCAGAACTGAAGGAGATAGAGACACAAAAATCCCTTCAAAAAATCAATGAATCCAGGAGCTGGATTTTGGAAAGATCAACAAAATTGACAGACTGCTAGTAAGACTAATAAAGAAGAAAAGAGAGAAGAATCAAGTAGATGCAATAAAAAATGATAAAGGAGATATCACCACTGATCCCATGGAAATACAACCATCAGAGAATACTATAAACACCTCTACACAAATAAACTAGAAGATCTAGAGGAAATGGAAAAATTCCTGGACACATACACCCTCCCAAGACTAAACCAGGAAGAAGTTGAATCACTGAATAGACCAATAGCAGGCTCTGAAATTGAGGCAATAATTAATAGTCTACCAACCAAAAAAAGTCCAGGACCAGACGGATTCACAGCCCAATTCTACCAGAAGTACAAAGAGGAGCCGATACCATTCCTTCTGAAACTATTCCAATCAATAGAAAAAGAGGGAATCCTCCCGAACTAATTTTATGAGGCCAGCATCATCCTGATACCAAAGCCTGGCAGAGACACACACACAAAAAAGAGAATTTTAGACCAATATCCCTGATGAACATCGATGCAAAAATCCTCAATAAAATACTGACAAACCGAATCCAGCAGCACATCAAAAAGCTTATCCACCAAGATCAAGTTGGCTTCATCCCTAGGATGCAAGGCTGGTTCAACATACGCAAATCAATAAACGTATTCCATCACATGAATAAAACAAATGACAAAAACCAAATGATTATCTCAATAGATGCAGAAAAGGCCTTCGACAAAATTCAACAATGCTTCATGCTAAAAACTCTCAATAAACTAGGTACTGATGGAACGTATCTCAAAATAATAAGAGCTATTTATGACAAACCCACAGCCAGTATCATACTGAATGGGAAAAAACTGGAAGCATTCTCTTTGAAAACTGGCACAAGACAGGGATGCCCTCTCTCACCACTCCTATTTAACATAGTGTTGGAAGTTCTGGCCAAGGCAATCAGGCATGAGAAAGAAATAAAGGATATTCAATTAGGAAAAGAGGAAGTCAAATTGTCCCTGTTTGCAGATGACATGATTGTATATTTAGAAAACCCCGTCGTCTCAGCCCTAAGTCTCCTTAAGCTGATAAGCAACTTCAGCAAAGTCTCAGGATGCAAACTTAATGTGCAAAAATCACAAGCATTCCTATACACCAATAACAGACAAACAGATAGCCAAATCATGAATGAACTCCCATTCACAATTGCTTCAAAGAGAATAAAATACCTAGGAATCCAATTTACAAAGGATGTAAAGGACCTCTTCAAGGGGAACTACAAACCACTGCTCAACGAAATAAAAGAGGACACCAACAAATGGAAGAACATTCCATGCTCATGGATAGGAAGAATCAATATAGTGAAGATGGCCATACTGACCAAGGTAATTTATAGATTCAATGACATCCCCATCAAGCTACCCATGACTTTCTTCACAGAATTGGGAAAAACTACTTTAAAATTCATATGGAACCAAAAAAGAGCCCCATTGCCAAGACAATCCTAAGCCAAAAGAACAAAGCTGGAGGCATCATGCTACCTGACTTCAAACTATATTACAAGGCTATAGTAATCAAAACAGCATGGTACTGGTACCAAAACAGAGATATAGACCAATGGAACAGAACAGAGCCCTCAGAAATAATGCCACACATCTACAACCATCTGATCTTTGACAAACCTGACAAAAACAAGAAATGGGGAAAGGATTCCCTATTTAATAAATGGTGCTGGGAAAACTGGCTAGCCATAAGTAGAAAGCTGAAACTGGATCCCTTCCTTACACCTTATACAAAAATTAATTCAAGATGGATTAGAGACTTAAATGTTAGACCTAAAATCATAAAAACCCTAGAAGAAAACCTAGGCAATACCATTCACGACATAGGCATGGGCAAGGACTTCATGTCTAAAACACCAAAGCAATGACAACAAAAGCCAAAATTGACAAATGGGATCTAATTAAACTAAAGAGCTTCCACACAGCAAAAGAAACTACCATCAGAGTGAACAGGCAACCTACAGAATGGGAGAAAATTCTTGCAATCTACTCATCTGACAAAGGGCTAATAGCCAGAACCTACAAAGAACTCAAACAAATTTACAAGACAAAAACAACCCCATCAAAAAGTGGGCAAGGGATATGAACAGACACTTCTCAAAAGAAGACATTTATGCAACCAGCAGACACATGAAAAAATGCTCATCATCACTAGCCATCAGAGAAATGCAAATCAAAACCACAATGAGATACCATCTCACACCAGTTAGAATGGTGATCATTAAAAGTCAGGAAACAACAGGGGCTGGAGAGGATGTAGAGAAATAGGAACAGTTTTACACTGTTGGTGGGACTGTAAACTAGTTCAACCATTGTGGAAGACAGTGTGGTGATTCCCCAAGGATCTAGAACTAGAAATAACATTTGACCCAGCCATCCTATTACTGGGTATATACCCAAAGGATTATAAATCATGCTGCTATACAGACACATGCACACGTATGTTTATTGTGGCACTATTCACAATAGCAAAGCCTTGGAACCAACCCAAATGTCTATCAATGACAGACTGGATTAAGAAAATGTGGCACATATACAACATGGAACACTATGCAGCCATAAAAAAGGATGCGTTCGTGTCCTTTGTAGGGACATGGATGCAGCTGGAAACCATCATTCTCAGCAAACTATTGCAAGGACAGAAAACCGAACACCACATGTTCTCACTCCTAGGTGGGAATTGAACAGTGAGAATACTTGGACACAGGAAGGGGAACATCACACACCAGGGCCTGTTGTCGGGTGGGAGGAGGGGGGAAGGGTAGCATTAGGAGATATACCTAATGTAAATGACGAGTTAATGGGTGCAGCACACCAACGTGGCACATGTATACATATGTAACAAACCTGCACCTTGTGCACATGTACCCTAGAACATAAAGTATAATAAAATTTAAAAAAAAAATTTAGTTACTATTTTCTGAGAGTTGTAGGGTTTGTTTCCTAAAGAAACTAGAAATTTGCATGAGCTAAGCTTTTCCTAATTCCGTCCTGCCTATGAGGTTAGCTCCCTATTCCCCAGGGCAGCTTTGCTTAGGAATCCTGGGGAAGTCGGGTGCAGAACGAAGAGAAGGAAGGACGTGAAAGCACAGTGCCACATCTGACCCTTGGCTTCCCAGTGAGGCCAGGACAGACCTGATGAGCTGCCTTTACCAGTTTTCTCACGTTTCTGTATCGTCTGAGATTCTGAGTTAGTAACAATATTAATGAGGAGCCTCAGCACCTAAGACTTTTTTGTTTGTTTGTTTGTTTGTTTCTGAGATGGAATATCGCTCTTGTCGCCCAGGCTGGAGTGCATTGGCATGATCTTGGCTCATTGCAACCTCCACCTCCCGAGTTCAAGCGATTCTCCTGCCTCAGCCTCCCAAGAAGCTGGGATTACAGGTACCCACCACCATGCCCAGCTAATTTGTTGTATCTTTAATAGAGACGGGGTTTCACCATGTTGGCCAGGCTGGTCTCAAACTCCTGACCTCAGGTGATCCGCCCACCGTGGCCTCCCAAAGTGCTGAAATCACAGGCATGAGCCACTGCGCCTGGCCAACACCTAAGATTTTTATATTCAGTTCAGATCATTTTTCTCTGACTCATGGGGTGTTGAGAGCTAGTTTACTCTTGCTTTCATAGAATAAAATTATTTCCTAACATTGTAAATTTAAAAGGATGTTTACTGGCTGGGTGCGGTGGCTCATGCCTATAATCCTAACACTTTGGGAGGCCGAGGGGGGCGAATCATGAGGTCTTCAGTTCAAGACCAGCCTGGCCACTATGGTGAAACCCCGTCACTACTAAAAATACAAAAATCAGCCGGGCGTGGTGGTGTGCACTTGTAATCTCAGCTACTCGGGAGGCTGAGGCAGGAGAATTGCTCGAACCTGGGAGTCGGAGGTTGCAGTGAGCTGAGATTGCGCTACTGCACTCCAGCCTGTGCAACAGAGCAACACCCCCTCTCAAAACAAAAACAAGAACAGGATGTTCAGGATGTTTACCTCTCTCCCTCTGTTTCCCCCTCAACCAGCCATGAATTGTGCAGAAAACAGGGGTTAAGTTCCATTGACCAGTTCACTGTAGGGAGCCGGGCCTTTCCACCCTCCACTGCTTCAAGTCAACTGCTCTGTTTCCTCTAGGAGTTGAAATTGTCCTACCGGAGCCCTGGAGAAATCCAGCCCTTCTCTAAATTCTATGCTGGGCAGATGAAGGAACCCATTCAACTTGAAATTACTGAAAAAAGACATGAGATTCTGGTCTGGAAGACTGTGGTGAAGCCAGGTAGGTGAGTGGGTGAGGCTGGCATTTTTGGTGAGGGGCAAATGCACCTCCACCATTGGATGTCAAAGAAGAGAGCCTGTTTATGTCTCCAGCCAAGATAAGAAATTGATTGTCAGTGTATCACCAACGTGAGGAAAACTAAAGTGATGGCGGTGGTTTGTCCATAGAAAGTGAAATGCTCAAGGAGCCAGAGAATGGGGATGGCCATGGGAATGGAAACCCCTCACACCCGCGGGTAAAGAACAGGAGATTTTTGGCCGGGCGCGGTGGCTCAAGCCTGTAATCCCAGCACTTTAGGAGGCCGAGATAGGAGGATCACGAGGAGATCAAAACCATCCTGGCTAACACGGTGAAACCCCGTCTCTACTAAAAAAATACCAAAAAACTAGCCGGGCGAGGTGGCGGGCGCCTGTAGTCCCAGCTACTCGGGAGGCTGAGGCAGGAGAATGGCGGGAACCCGGGAGGTGGAGTTTGCAGTGAGCTGAGATCCGGCCACTGCACTCCAGCCTGGGTGACAGAGCGAGACCCCGTCTCAGAAAAAAAAAAAAAAAAAAGGAGTTTTTTGGGTTTTTTTCCTCCCCAGAATCTTGCTGTGTCACCCAGGATTGTAACCCTCAGAGTTCCTATGACATTCTCCTGCCCATAGAAAGAGTATTGAAAAAATGGGCCAGGCACAATGGCTCATGCCTGTAATTCCAGCACTTTGAGAGGCTGAGGTGGGCGGATCACCTGAAGTCAGGAGTTTGAGACCAACCTGGCCAACATGGCAAAACCCCATTTCTACTAAAAATACAAGATTAACCGGGCATGGTGGCACATGCCTGTAATCCCAGCTACTCGGGGGGCTGAGGCAGGAGAATTGCTTGAACCTGGGAGGCAGAGGTTGCGGTGAGCCAAGATTGAGCCTGGGCAACGGAGACTGAGAGAGAGAAAGAGAGGAAGGAAGCAAGGGAGGGAGGGAGGGAGGGAAGGAGGGAGAAAGGAAGGAAGGAAGGAAGAGGGGAAGGGGAAGGGGAGAAAGGAAGAAAAAGAAAGAATGGAAGAAAGGAAAAGAAAAGAAAGAATACTGGAAAAATGTGTTGCTTTCTCTGATACATTTCCTGAATGGGCAGTGAGTGGCTCTTGACTTAATGGGGTTTTATTAGTATATTAGTGTGCCAAACAAGATCCCTGCCTTATAAAATGTATAGAATTAAATTATTTTCGTTGGCGCATGAAAGACTAGAAAAGCTCAGTAAGGGTATACGATTCGTTGTATGTCATCTCCAATTCTTCCCTGTTTTGTAGTGGATATCCAGCTTGGAGCTGCACCCTCCCCACCTGCCTTCTCAGGTTAGTGAAATGTTTACACTAAAGCCAGATGGATGTATCTGATATCAAGAGGCCTTTGAGTGCTTTGACATCACAAAGTGAGGCTCCATTCCTCCTAAGCTTATCATTTACAAACAACAAGCGATGCCAGAGAAAAATACAAACAATGAGTATGATTTACTTAAGGGAGGACGTGAGGACATCACGTCCACACAAAGGAGCAGGAAACAGCAAGTTATTGGGGTAAATGTCTTGCATCTGGGGAACCGTAAGTTAAAGTAGTTCTATATTGAACTTTGAGAGGGATATAGTAAATATGAGACTAGGAAGTAAAATATCCAAAATGAAATGAACATGGGTTAGGCAACACTACAAGTTAAAGAGCCATCCCTGGCTGGGCATAGTGGCTCACACCTGTAATCCCAGCACTTTGGCAGACCGAGGCGGGTGGATCACCTGAGGTCAGGAGTTCAAGACATGGTGAAACGCTGCCTTTACTAAAAATACAAAAATTAGCCGGGTATCGTGGCGCATGCCTGTAATCCCAGCTATCTGGGAGGCTGAGGCAGGAGAATCACTTGAACCCGGGAGGCAGAGGTTGCGGTGAGCCGAGATCGTGCCATTGCACCCCAGCCTGGGCAATGAGCGAAACTCCCTCTCAAGAAATAAATTAATTAATTAATAAAGACCCAGCCCCCACCCTGGAATTATGAATCTTCGTTTGGTGCGGATCCCAAATCCTGTAAGAGAGCAATTCTCAGAGTCCGCAACTCCCCCTTTCATCCGGGTGCAGCCTTTGTGAGGGAGAACCACCGGCAACTCCAAGCCAGGATTGGGGACCTGAAAGGGGTGCTCGATGATCTCCAAGACAATGAGGTTCTCAGTGAGAATGAGAAGGAGCTGGTGGAGCAGGCAAAGACACGGCAGAGCAAGACCGACGCCCTGCTGAGCATGGTGGAGAAGAAAGGGGACCGGGCCCTGGAGCTGCTCTTCAGAAGCCTTAGTGAAAGGGACCCTTACCTCGTGTCCTATCTTAGACAGCAGAGTTTGTAAAGGGAGTCAGTCCGAGAGTCTGGAAGAGAGAATCCAGCGTTCTCATTGGAAATGAACGAGTAGAGATGCATCCTTGATTCCAGTGTCCAAAACAGAGGAGGGCTGGGTCACATTTGCCCATCACACAGGCTTTGGGGACAGATACGTCACCGGGAAGACACCCATGGGCTGTATCCCCATGCCTTTCCCTCAAGAATATCTGAAGAAAATAACAATCGTGCTTTTAAATCTTTTCTAACCATGGCTCGATATATGACTGTTCCATCCATTGACACGTTTCCCGAAGACCCAGGGTGAGTAAGTCAAAGCAGTTGTGTTTATACATGATAGGCTCCAGAAAGGAAAATTCTCCTGATGAACCTGAAAACCAGCTTTTATGGACACTCTGTTTGATGTGTCACCATTCCACCACAAAAAGCAGGAACGCGAACAAAACCTCTCAATCGAAGAGACTCAAGGTATTTCTTAATGGTATTGGTTTTATATACGTTGTTCCTTTAACATTTTATCTATTGCTGTTAATACTAGAATAATGTAAGTACGTTATTCTACAAGTACCCGGGAGGTGGAGGCTGCAGTGAGCCGAGGTCGCACCATCACATTCCAACCTGGGCGACAGATGGAGACTCCATCAAAAAAAAAAAAAAAAAACAAAAACCCTTGGGAAATTGCTATGTATCTTGTACTTTTAATCACTGAGATTTGTGTAACTCATTGACTGTTTCAATAGCTCTCGAGGAAAAGGGCCTATTAACGGATTTCCAGATGTTTCCCATTTCTGCCGCTCTTGATTTTGCAAGTTTCATTCTGCAGTTTTCTTTTTTGTCTGAAAAACTTTGATTTGTAGTTCTTTTAGAGCAGATCTGATAGCTATGACTTCTCTTACTTTTCTTTCTTTCTTTTTTCTTTCTTTTTTTTTTTTTTTTTTGAGACACAGTCTTGCTGTCGCCCAGGCTGGAGTGCAGCGGTATGATCTCAGCTCACTGCAACCTCCACCTCCCAGGTTCAAGCAATTCTCCTGCCTTAGCCTCCCAAGTCGCTGGGGTTACAGGCACCCACCACCACGCCCAGCTAATTTTTTGTATTTTTAGTAGAGACAGGGTTTCACCATGTTGGCCAGGCTGGTCTCGAACTCCTGACCTGAAGTGATCCACCCACCTCGGCCTCCCAAAGTGCTGGGATTACAGATGTGGCCCACCGCGCCTAGTCATGGCTCATCCTTGTATTGTAAGTAATTTTGATTTGTACCCTGGACATTTGAATGTTATGTTATGAGACTCTATGATTCATCTGTATCCGGCACAAAGTGTCCATTTTTTTTAGGTCTTCTATGAAGTGAGGTATTCATGTTAGCTCATTTTTAAAGTCTGTGCAGTTCTGTCTATCCCGTGTGTGCCTGTGAGGTTGGGCGGAGGTTGACCCGCTAGTGCGGGTCTCAGGGCCTTTAAATGTGAATTAGGATCACAGCAGTGGATGCCCAAGTTGGGGTTAAGCCTAGGAATTCATAAAAGTCTTCACGGACTCACATTCTGCCACTCCATGTGCTTCATTATTGTTATGGTGAGAGAAACAGCATTTTGTTATTTTTCTATACCCTAACTTGAAGTAGAACTGAACTTTTGCATTTGAAGATTGAACGCCATAATTTTATGAAAAAAAAATAAAAATATGTTGTTATTAAAACAAAGCCAGGTATATATTAATATGAGTTTCATTGATTCATTTGAGTATGTGATATTAAAAATACAAGTCCATTAAAAAGAAGCCACTAGGCTTCTTTTCTAAGTGACGTGTGTCACTGAGAGCTGATGTTACCATTTCACTTCCAAAAGTCTTTTTCAGAAGATAGCGTTTTAATTAATGTTAACACAAAGTGTACGAAATATATTAGTTTACTAACTCTACTTTTGTCATATCTTGACAAACTCTTTATTTTATTTATTTATTTTATTTTTTTTTTTTTTGAAACGGAGTCTCGCTCTGTCACCCAGGCTGGAGTGCAGTGGTCGGATCTCAGCTCACTGCAAACTCCGCCTCCCAGGTTCGCGCCATTCTCCTGCCTCAGCCTCCTGAGTAGCTGGGACTACAGGCGCCCGCCACCTTGCCCGGCTAGTTTTTTGTATTTTTTAGTAGAGACGGAGTTTCACCGTGTTAGCCAGGATGGTCTCGATCTCCTGACCTCGTGATCCGCCCGTCTCGGCCTCCCAAAGTGCTGGGATTACAGGCTTGAGCCACCACACCCGGCTGACAAACTCTTTAATATCTAGAGACTAGATATTATAAAATTATGACCCGTTTATCCAGTATATACATAATATATACAGTGTGGCAAAGATAAATGGAATGCAGGCTGGACGCAGTGGCTCACACCTGTAATCCCAACACTTTGGGAGGCTGAGGCAGGCGGATCACCTGAGGTCAGCAATTCGAGACCAGCCTGACAATAATGGAGAAACCCCTTCTCTACTAAAAATACAAAATTAGCCGGGCGTGGTGGCCCATGCCTGTAATCCCAGCTACTTGGGAGGCTGAGGCAGGAGAATCGCTTGAATCTGGGACGCGGAGGTTGCAGTGAGCCGAGATCGCACCACTGCACTCCAGCCTGGACAACAGAGTGAGACTCTGTCTCAAAAAAAAAGAGTAAAGACTCCAAAGACCAAAGTTCCATTAACTGGCAAGTAATGGATCCAGGTCTACAACACTCTTATCTCCTAATGTCGTCTCCAGTTTAATTTTTTAAATCACCCAGGGCAGCAATCTGCAATGTCCTCTGGATCTGTGTCAACTCTTGTGTGGCAAATGACTGAAAGTTCAACTTCAATGGAATAAAAATATATAGAGCGTGTCCTGGCTCTACTGAATGCAAGGACAGGAGGTAGGACTGACCCCAGGGAGGCTGATCCATGGGCTCCAAAAACACCACAAGGAAGGAACGTTTCTCCAGGTGTCCACCCGGCCTTCCGTGGTGTTGGCTCCACACAGTATTCACATGAAGCCTCACATCTCACAAGAGACGACTGGGAGGAGAGCAAGGGCAGCCTCTGATCCCTCCCGATGAGGAGAAGGCTCCTCGGGATGTTGTAATGTCTCACAGACACATTTCCCATTCGGCCTATGTCTTCAGGAAGTCAGGAGAGCAGATTAAATTTTCAAAATCACGCCTAGAGGAGGGTCAAGATGGCTGGCTGGACACAGCCCGGAAGCACCACTCCCACTGAGAGAAACCAAGATACTGGGTAAACCAGCAGACTTAGAGCAGATCTTCGGAGAGAAAACACCAAGAGTTGATACAGAGGCGATGCAGACGCCAGGGCTGAAGAACGAGGAACCTGGGAATGTGGTGTGGGGTAGCGGAACGCTAGGGCCAGTTCCCAGCACTGAAAGCCTCCTAGGGGAGGGGTGAATGAAGGGACAGAGGGACGGCAGGCTCTCACCACAGACCGGTGATGTACCAGCTATAGGAGACCACACGCCTTCCATAGACATTTTTTTTTTTCTTTTGAGACGGAGTTTCGCTCTTGTTGCCCAGGCTGGAGTGCAATGGCATGATCTCAGCTCACTGCAACCTCCACCTCTCAGCTTCTAACAATTCTCTTGCCTCAGCCTCCCGAGTAGCTGGGATTACAGGCCTGTGCCACCACGCTCAGCTAATTTTTGTATTTTTAGTAGAGACGCGGTTTCGTCATGTTGGCCAGGCTGGTCTCGACCTCCTGACCTCATGATCCACTCGCCTCAGCCTCCAAAAGTGCTGGGATTATAGGTGTGAGCCACCGCGCCCAGCCTCCATAGACATTTTGTCAGAGACATGTGAACCAGAGCAACTCCATCTTGAGTAGGAGCTGGACAAAATGAGGCTGAGACCTACCCAGCTGCATTCCCAAATGGTGAAGGCATTCTAAGTCACAGGATGAGACAGGAGGTCGGCACAAGATACAGGTCATAAAGACCTTGCTGATAAAACAGGTTGCAATAAAGGAGCCGGCCAAAACCAAGATGACGATGAGAATGACCTCTGGTCCTCCTCACTCCGACACTCCCACCAGCGCCATGACAGTTACAGATGCCATGGCAACGTCAGGAAGTTACCCAATGTGGACCACGTGTTTAGCATAGCATCAAGAAATAACCATAAAAATGGGCAACCAAGGCCGGGCACAGTGGCTCACGCCTGTAATCCCAGCACTTTGAGAGGCCAAGACAAGCGCATCACCTGAGGTCAGGAGTTCGAGACCAGCCTGGCCAACATGGTGAAACCCCATCTCTACTAAAATAAAAAATTAGCCAGGCATGGTGGCACGTACCTGTAATCCCAGCTACTCGGGAGGCTGAGGCACAAGAATTGCTTGAACCTGGAAGGTGGAGGTTGCAGTGAGCTGAGATCATACCACTGTACTCCAGCCTGGGCAACAAGAGCAAAACTCCGTCTCAAAAAAAAAAAAAAGAGAGAATCTCTCATATACCATATTCCCTGGGGGAGATTTGGAGATTTGAAAACCACTCACAATCTCGGGTATTGTCACATCTGCTTTTGTCCTCATGTGCTTCCTCCAGTGTGAATCCCACCGTAGGAAATGCTACAGGGCCTCACTGCATTTGGGAGGCTGTGGTGGGAGGATTGCTTGAGCCCAGGGATTCGAGACCAGCCTGGGCAACATGGCAAGATCCCGTCTCTACCAAAAAAAAAAAAAAAAAAGTAATAAGCTAGCCGGACATGGTGACATGTACCTGTAGTCCCAGCTACTTCAGATGCTGAGGCAGGAGAATCGCTTGAGTTTGGGAGATTGAGACTGCAGTGAACCAAGATCGCGGTCTGCACTCCAGCCTGGGCGACAGAGCAAGACACTGAAAAAGAAAAAAAGAAAAGAAAAGAAAAGAAAGGAAAGAAAGAAAGAAAGAAAGGGAAAGGAAAGGAAAGGAAAGGAAAGGAAGGAAAGAAGAAAAAGAAAAAAGCAAGTGAATTTGAATCTGATCAAGCATCCATATCTAACCACCAGTTTAAAAGAAATTCAAAGGCTAGAAAAACGTGTTAAATGACAGCCAGGCGCAGTGGCTCACGCCTGTAATCTCAGCACTTTGGGAGGCTGAGCCAGGCAGATCACCTGAGGTCAGGAGTTCGAGATCAGCCTGGTCAATATGGTGAAACCCCGTCTCTACTTAAAATACAAAAAAATTAGCTGGGCATGGTGGCAGGCGCCTGTAATCCCAGCCACTTGGGAAGCTGAGGCAGGAGAATCGCTTGAACTCGGGAGGTAGAGGTTGCAGTTTGCCAAGATCATGCCATTGCACTCTAGCCTGGACAAGAGCAAAACTCCATCTCCAAAAAAAAAAAAAGAAAGAAAGAAAAACATGTTAAATGACAACACAAGGATGTAATTGGCAAAACTGAAACCAAAGAAAATTTAACAGAAAAAAATGACCTAGTTTCTACAATAACGATGTTTGAATGGGGGGGGGGTGGAATTAGATAAGTAGCAACTTAGAATAACAAAGAATTAACACACACACACACAAAAACTTAACACACGCACAAAAAAACCTATTATAGTGGATGATTTGTATCTCTATGCAAAGGAATAAAGTAAAAATAAGAACCAGGGAAATGACCACATTAACAGGATATTTTATGATGTCCTGAATGATGATTACTTTTAACTGTAAGAGAATATTTATGTAAGGGAATAAAGCATTTTTTAACTCTTCATCTTTTAAACATACATAGTGATTTTTTTAAAGTTTTGATTGATTGATTGATTGATTGATACAGAGTCTCACTCTTGTCACCCAGACTGGAGTGCAGTGGCAAGATCTCAGCTCACTACAACCTCCACCTCCTGAGCTCAAGCGATCCTCCTGCCTCAGCCTTCCAAGTAGCTGTGACTACATGCACCACACGCCTCTTTTTTTTTTTTTTTTTTTTGTAGAGACAGAGTTTTGCCATTTTGCCCAGGCTGCTCTCAAACTCCTAAGTTCAGGCAATCCACCCACTTCGGCTTCTCAAAGCATAAGCCACCACACCTGGCCATGATGTTCCCAATTTTCTTTAAAAAGATCCACCTAGGCCGGGCGCGGTGGCTTACGCCTGTAATCCCAGCACTTTGGGAGGCCGAGGCGGGCGGATCACAAGGTCAGGAGATCGAGACCACGGTGAAACCCCGTCTCTACTAAAAATACAAAAAAAATGAGCTGGGCGCAGTGGCGGGCGCCTGTAGTCCCAGCTACTCGGGAGGCTGGGGCAGGAGAATGGCGTGAACCCAGGAGGCGGAGCTTGCAGTGAGCCAGGATCGCGCCACTGCACTCCAGCTTGGGCGACAGAGCAAGACTCCGTCTCAAAAAAAAAAAAAAAAAAAAAAAAAAAAAAAGATCCTCCTAGCAGTGAAGGCATAGGTGAAACGGGATATTAAGGATACCAGAAAAGAAGCAGGTTATTTGTGGGGTTTTTTGAGGTTTTTTTGTTTGTTTATTTGAGACGGAGTCTCACTCTGTCGCCCAGGCTGGAGTGCAGTGGCACAATCTCAGCTCACTACAACCTCTGCCTCCCGGCTTCAAGCGATTCTCCTGTGTCAGCCTCCCAAGTAGCTGGGACTACAGGCGTCTGCCACCACACCCAGCTAATTTTTGTGTTTTTAGTAGAGACTGGGTTTCACCATTTTGGCCAAGCTGATCTCAAACTCCTGATCTCGTGATCCGCCCGCCTGGGCCTCTC